GGTTTGTAAGTTTTAATACATGATTTAGTAATAGATAGAATTTGTTAATAGTTTTTCTTCACACATTTTTGATGTGTGATGTGTTTTAAATTTATAACATAAACGTACGAGTGTCCTAGCATGTTGGTCGATCATAAGAAACAATGTTCTAAGTACTAATTCCGCTGTAAAATGACTTAGTGAATAACAATCACGGAGGCAATTAACAACTATGAAAAATAAAATAAGAAAGCAAGTAAAAAAGACGGAAATTTAAACTAACAACAACAAAACAACTTCACGGAACTAGCGGTGTCGAAAGGATTTATTGAGGTGAAAAGATTCATCTTTCTAAAAATATTGAAACCCTATTGACCTGGTGACAAGGTCAAGTTTAAAGCTTTACAAGTTACAGAAAGGTCACAATGTTTTTCGAGGCGTACTCTATGGCAGGATATATATTCATATATATATATATATATATATATATATTTATTTATTTATTTATTTATTTATTAAAAATATTGTATAAATGTTTTTCCAAAAAAAAAAAATCTCCCCTTCTCCTTCTCCTTCTCCTTCTCCTTCTCACTATTGATTCACAAAGATGCATGCAAGGAGATAGGGTTTCAAAACTCAGATGTGGTTCACCTACTACATCAGCATTTTGCAGGTGGGCATTGGTCACCAAAAATAGAGAGACGAAGACGGTGAAAATTGACTTCCATTTATGGGTGCCGAAAGAAAGATGGTGTCGGAGAATGGACTTCTACGGGGATTAAAGCACCGATTGTGTCATGGTGCAAGGGTAGACTGGTAGAGAATTGAAATGTTGGTATATAGTAAAACGAAACATATAAAATAAAACATTCTTTTATGTTATTTTTTAATTGAAAACTATAGAATTTGATGAAAAGACATAAATGTCCATTCCTCTAACGGATTTCTTTTGACAGAGTGAGTGATCATAGACCAATTTCGGAATAAAATACGAATGTTAAAAACAATTTCTAAATTTATCAAACTTCAAGTCCCTTTTTACTAAAAGAGAAGTGTTTCTTATTAATTTGTGTCATCGATTCAAACGTGGTATTTGAATATTGGGAAACGAGATACGATTCCATGACAAATGGTGGGAATAATTAATTAGATAGTCGCGAGTTAGGTACTGTTTTGACTAATTGTTTCCATGGGGAGTAATTAATGGGTTAATTAATCATGTCATTATTCCGATTTGTTTGTTTATTAATAAAATTTGCAATTTTTTAATTAAATTTCCCTACGTAAATAAATATAAGCTAAGGATTATATAATTTAAACTATATATGTTATCTCTTTGTGATTTTATATTTTCCTTTAAATAATAAAAATATACTAATATTATATTTATTACTATTAAATTAATTACCTCTTACAGTGGACGATGAAGCCTCATGGCCAGCACCTTAATCATTTGAATTTGGGTTATCACAAATAAAATAAAAAAACGAAGAACACGAAAGCAATGTACGAATATTATGGTGGCATGGAAGGAGAAGACTTAAATCAACCTTGATTCAAGTCTAACCCTCGACCGTAAACCTCTATTAAAGTGTTTAATTTCATTTCTTTTCTTTTTAATTGTTTCATTTCAGATAAGAAAATATGATGAAAATTAGGGTTCTTGAATTGAAGAAGTAGGTGATGGGGTACACGAAGTTGGGTAAAAAGATGAATTTGCCCATCACGTAAGGGATGGATTACGTACGTACCTTATCCAGTGTTAATTCGAAGGACTAATATATTATTTAAGACACATAATAAGAAAAATCGGTTTGCTTAATTCGTCCTAAGCACCAAATCCAAAATATTAGCATAAAACATAACGCCATCTTTTTACGTATATTACAAAAATCATTAGAGTAAACTTCATTTTTGGTCCCTAGTCCTTCTTACTAATAAGAGATGTTAAAGAAATTATTAGGTGAGGGACGACAATAGGATCTTTTTCTAATTTTTATTTAAAAACAAGTACACACTTTTTGTATTCATTATATTTGACATCACCCACCTAAGAACCCCCTCTCTCCTTCCTTCTTTACCATATTTATGTGAGAATACTAATTTTTTTTATTAACCTGGATATCCAACTCGTTATGTGAGCGGACTAATCCCATGGCGACCATCTGTTTTGCAGATAGCTCGGAGTCACCGCATTTGAACCTCTATGGCCACAAGGGGATTTTTGTTCCTCCTTGGATTTGAACCTGAGTAGACCTCCTAGTACTTTTGACCTTTGGAGCCAAGCTCAAACCAATCAGGCACCACCCTTGTAGTTATGTGAGAACACTATTAAAAAAATGACTTTTTTCAAGCTAATTTATTACCGACGAATTACTAAGGAACATTAGAAAAATTAACTTTTGTTGACTTCCGCCATAAATTCGTCGGAAAACCGCCACTAATTATTGAAAAAAAAATTGTTCTAGTTATATAAGTTTTTGGTGGATTACCGGCGGAAACCTTTATTTATTTATTAAAAAAAATATATTTTAATTAATTTTAATTACTGATTTTAATTAATTATTTTTAAATAAATTATTTCAGTATTTTATTTAATTAAAATTAATTTTTTATACAAGTCTTGAAAAAAAAAAGTGTGTAATGCATGTGCCTTCCAATTACAAAGCGAAGGGAAGTTGTGTTGGTTTAATTGTTATGACAAGTTTATCTCAATGAGACACCCGTTTAGGCGTGATAGGAACCAATTTTGTATTAGACATGCTGAAAAAGTTGATCCACCCTCGCTGCTAACCAAGGAGCAAATATGGGTACAAGTCTACAGCCTTCCTACGGTTTATAAAAGAGTCCCACACGAATCAAGGTACTATAGAAATCCTATGAGTTTTGGGGTAACACACAATTGGGTAAAACAGACATTTTTTGGGAGCTGCGATATTAACACACTTTGTTGATCCAGCATAACTTAGACGTAATGTACATTGAAAAAGAATGTGTCTGACAATTTCTTTCATACAATTATGCACACCACAAAATCAATCGACAACATAAAAACAAATAAATACATAGAAGAATACTACAATCAATTGGAAACTACATATAAGAGGAGGAAATAAAATATTGAAACTGAAAGCTTCTTACACATTAAATAACGAGAAAGTGTGAAAGGGGTGTGATTGGTTGAAGAAGCTGATATTCTGGATGGTTGTGCTTCAAATATAGGGGCTCCAGTAAACGTTGAAGATAGTAGTTTTTATGGCTTCAAGAGTTCTGATTGTTACGTGTTAATGCAAAGCCTGCTCCCTATTTCCATTAAAGGGATGATATCGAATCCAATATAAATGATATCACTGAGTTAAGCATATTCTTTCGTGCAATATGCTTGAAGGAGTTATAGGTTGATGATTTGCTTCAATTGCCGACAAGTATATAGTTGAAACTATCTGCAGGGCCGTCCCTTAGGATGTTAAATGTGAGAATTTGAACAGAGCTCTCAAAATTTTCGGGCCTAAATTTACATGTATTTAGGGTCCTTTTATCGATCTGTGTAAAACTATTGTCGAAATTGTTTAGGTTCAAATTATTAATTGTTTGGTTTTTTAGGTTAAAAATAATAAATGGTTTAGGTTTAGTTTCATATTGTTAATCGTTTAGGTTTAGCCCATTTTTAATTGAACATATATTCTCTGTTATCTCATTTATGCAATGAAATTAAAAGTTTTAGATGTAGTAGGGCCTCTAAAAAGATTGGAACGTCCCTGCCTATATATATATATATATATATATATATATATATATAGAGAGAGAGAGAGAGGGGGCGGAAGGATGATGCGAGAATTCAAATATTTTGCGAGAAGTCGAGAAGTTTCAATATCATATATGATTACACTCTTTTGGGTGTGCTTAATCATATATAATTAAGCGTCTATGTGTTGTCGACGCAACATGTAGTTAATCATATATGATTAAGTTTATGTATCATACGTGTAATCATATATGATAATAAAACTTCTTGTCTTCTCACAACATGTTTAGCTTCTTGTTGATCTTGCCCCTATACACACACATTAGTTTTCCCTTGATCTTCGATCTCTCTATTATGTAATATTAGTTTCTTTATTACTTATTAGGAAAATGAGAACAAGACAAAAAGAAAAGGAAAAACAGACCTATCTGCAACTGATCTGACAATTTAACATCTGTTAACCAGAGTGACCAAAACCAGACGAAAATGCAACGTGTGACGGCGAGTTTGTATGAGATTAACATTAAAGGTCAAAATCAAGAAAATTAGAAAATTAAAGGGACCAAAAATAAAGTTTACTTATTATTATATCTAGTTTTTGTAGGGTAATTTAAAAAAAGCAAATCACCATCGGAATATTTTCATGATTCTGCTAATAAAAAAACACATAGGAAGAGAGGCCAAAGAGTACCTAACTCCCATATGCACTATTAACCGTTGACACCGTCCCTCATGGAATCAAATCTTCATCTTTATTTAATTAATGGAGTGTTTGAGATTGTTTATAAAAATAATTTATTGACTTATTCCAGTGTGATATCGATAATAAACACTTTTGAGTGTTTGGATAAACAACTTATACCGTGTCAAACCGGTAATAAGAAGTTTTTAAAGAAGTTAAATCCTTCTGAGTTACAATAAGTTGATAAGTGTTTTTATAGAAAACCGTAAGTTGTTTCAGATAAGCAATCCCAAACCGCCCCTTATATTTCTAAATGATGATCCAACTTGTGTATACTTTTTCCTAGCTGAATGTTTAAGCATATTTTAAATCTTAATTATGGATTCATTTACCATGCATGGGTTATCGGTATAATCGTGAATCACATGCATTGTAGAAGGAGACAGAAAAAAGAAAAGAAATATAAAACGGATGTTAATGCACGAGATGCGAAGTTATTAGTTTAATTAATGTTTTTCTATTCAGCAATTTGAAGCTGAAAATTATTATATAAAGCCAACACCTACTGGCCTGTTACCAGCATCTAGGAAAGTTGAAAGTTGAAAGTTAATTAGGGAGACAGAATGAAATCCAAATACATGATGATTTCCCTTTTTATCATCTTTCTACAATTCATTACTTCATCATGCTCACAGTCAACCGTCAAGAACCTCCCCAGCTTTAATGGTGATCTTCCTTTTACTCTCCAAACCGGGTATGTTTACATGTTCGTTTTTCGTTCATTCTTCTCGTTTTTATTACCAGAAGCTTCTTTTCGGTTCATTCTCTGTTTGTTTTTCATGTCGAAAGATACATTGGAATGGGAGAAGAAGATGCAATGCAAGTTTTCTACTACTTTGTTGAGTCCGAAAGAAACCCGTCAGAAGACCCTCTTTTTCTGTATTTCGCTGGTGGCCCTGGCGCTTCTGGACTATATCCGTTCCTCTATCAAAACGGTAATCTTCTCATATTGCAATTTGTTAATTTGTATGAGCTTAATAATACTATGTACACTAATACAAACTTTTGTGTGATGTTGTTTGTTATGGTTAATTAGTTTGTATTTGAATTTTCTTTCCCAATAATTAAGGGGAGAAAATTTACGACGTAAATCTCTCACTCGATCAATGCTATAGTACCCCAATGGAAAAACTGAAACTTATTACCAATCGCTGTGTTCTTATTTGGAAACAAGGGTGGTGCCTGATTGGTTTGAACTTGGCTCCAAAGATCAAAAGGAGGAATACAAATCCCCCTGTGGCCACGGAAGTTCAAATGCGGTGACTCTGGACTATCTGCGAAGCAGGTGGTCATCATAGGATTAGTCGGCTCACATAACGAATTGGATATCCAAGTTAATAAAAAAAATTAATTATTTGATCCAATTGCTAATACAATAGTGTAGTTGGTATGAGTTTTTGGGTTCTTGTCATGTTGAAATTAAATATGAAATAATATCCGTTATTATAACTTTTTAGCGGTATTTATTAAGGCATTAGTATTAACCGGGTGATAGAATTAGAGGCTGTTTACCGGACATTTACCCGGTAAGGTCCACATTTACGGAGTTAGGGATGGAACTGAACTTCATGAGGTCCACGTTTAATCGACAAGGAACGGAATGAAATTTAATTTTGTTAATTTGAACTTTATGTTTGGTTCACGAATGTAAGAAACTATATTTTAATGATATATTTTACAATTGTTTTGCTCGATTTATAAATATTAAAGATGGATCGACCAATTAACTAACATTAATAAAATCATCTTTTTGTAGGTCCATTAAGTTTCAATTTCGAAAGTTCAAAGAGGGGTAACATTACATTGGAGTTGAATCCATATTCATGGTCAAAGGTTCGCATTCTCACTCTATTCGAATTTTTGCTTTTAAAAACTAAAATTCCGATTTAACAGATTCTTTTGTTACATTATAAATGTATATACATTTTTATGTTATGTTTGACGCAAACAAATCGTTTCTAATTTTGTAGGTTGCTAATGTGATATTCGTAGATTTACCAATTGGTGTTGGATTTTCTTATGCTAAAACATGGGAAGCATCGAGGAGTAGTGATTCCCTTTTAGCTGTACAAGGCTATGAATTTCTAAGAAAGGTAAGATAATTAGAGACTCTTTCCGGATCATTACGGAATAGAAGTTTTATTATGTTGCTTCATTGACTTTTTTTTGTACAATTGGTACAAAACAAAGGAGTTTCATCAAAGGAAAACTCCATTAATAATACGCTGGAAAATGCCCTCACCAGCATATCTCACACACGGAACGGCGGATTGACCATTAATGACGGGAAAATCCACGAGTGAATCAATGATCTGTCAGTAAAGCCCCTTTATTTTGTAATGTATTGGACCGAATATGTGCTTCTTAATTATGTTGGCCCTGCTTGAAGGTAGTAGCTAATTATTTACTACAAAATATTAATGGAACTTTGTTTGTGTGTTTAAACATGTGGTGATGAATATTTGAATACAGTGGCTTGTGGAGAACCCCAGGTTTGTGAGTAATCCATTGTACGTATCTGGGATTTCATACATGGGAATTATCGTACCAAATGTGGCTTTGGAGGTATACAAAGGTAAGAACTTCCATCATACATTGATCCCTCCCTAAATAGGCTTCACTTCTATAACATTCTATTCACCATTTTCTCTCATTTTTGCAGGCAATGAACTTGGAAATCAACCACAAGTCAACATTAAAGTAAACATCTTAATTACTACATCAGCTTTCTTAACGTTTTTGCTAAAATATTTACTGAAAGGGGAAGAGTTTCCCCAGGCAATTTTATAAAGACAGAAAAAACGTCACCAATACAAAAGCAATCAGCATGAAAAACTACGGCAACCTTGACTCACAAACCAAGTCATAAGGAGCCAAAAAAGACAAAGGGAAATACACCAAAACATAACAGCACCGTAAGCCAAAAAGCAAAAGGCAAAAAATACCCAAATGATCCAAAACCGCAAGAGCACACCACCCACGTAATCACATGCCATTGGGATTCATATTCTTCTTCCTTGTCTTCCAAGCCATTCGATGAAGAATCAGCATCTTGATCTCCGTAATAACTTTATCCCTTGAATGATTGAAATTAGCAAAGAACTTCTTGTTTGGTTGGTTCATATACAACTGATTGAAATAACTTAATTATGACCAATTTGCAACAAGAAATAAATTTCATGCTTCAATCGGTTTTTGGTTACCATCAAACTAACCAAATCAACTTTTTGACCCCAAATTAGTATGCATGGGTAAATGTTTGTGGCAATCTCATTGCCAAAAATAAATTTTGTTGACAATACAAAAACGCTAGATTAACTAATATGTTATCGCCATTATACAGGGATACCTAATTATTAACCCTCTCACCGATAAGTTTATCGACTTCAATTCAAGATTTGAGTATGCTCATCGCCTTGCACTTATATCAGATGATATATACGAGGTACTAAAAGATATTCATTACAAAATCGTGCCTACTTACTAATAAAAATTATTAGTTCTGTGGTCATTTGGTTGAATTTATATTATGTTTTAGTCTACAAAAGCATCTTGTGATGGTGACTACGTATACAATGTTCCTGAGAACAGCCTATGTGCTGATAATCTTAAACGGGTGGCTGAGGTACGCACATATTGTTCTTCCAGAAAGACCTTTACAATTATAATGTAACATAACATTAATCCAAATTCCCAATTGCAGTGCACAAGCAGAATTAAGTTTGGATTTATATTGGAGCCGGTGTGTAATGTAACAGACAGGGTGCCAACTTGTAAAGTAATTTTTCTTTCTCAAATGTGAAGATCGACACACATTTTTAATTTAACCTAGCACATTTCGTTTATAAATCATATTTAAGAACACGGAAATTAATATAAGTTTTACCATTTCTTATAATTTTGTTTAGGATTTCACCGACACATTTATACAAACTTGGGTAAACTCTAAGGGTGTTCAGAAAGCTCTCAACATTCATGAGGTACGTTATTCACAATGAATTCACAACTTAACACTATTTACTCATCAATAATAATGCGTGTCACCATCAGAAAAAAATAGTCCCATGTTTAGCCCTCTGTTTCAAGTTTCAACACTCTTGAATGTCTTTCTTTTCATGTGCAGGGAACTATAGGAAAGTGGGAGTACGCAAACACGAGTATTGCTTATGATTTAAAGAAAAACGATACCGTGTATTATTCCTATGATGTCTGGAGCACTATTGAATCCCACAAACAACTTCTTACCAAAAACTGTCAAGCTTTGATCATGTGGTAATACCCTACTCTTTCAATTTTAGACAAAATCACCATTTCATTGTTTTAGAAAAAGTTCAAGTTTTCCATCTTTATTTCTTCATATTTTGAATTTTGAACTAATTTTGATTCTCAAAGTTGTTGCTAAATACTATTTTGTATCCCAAAATAGTATCAAGTTCCATACCTTTACAAGGGTATGTGATTATCTATATCAACAAAAAGTTTTTTTAAAATTTGTAATTTATTCAGTGACCACAATATATAAATATTTGAATTGACAGCGCTGATCATGACATGGTGTTTCCATACTTGGGCACTGAGAAATGGATTAAAAATCTTAATCTTCCAATTGAAAACGCATGGGAACCATGGTTTGTTCGTACACAAGTTGCAGGGTAAGCTCAAAAGTCAAGTACTTTTTGTGTTCCCTATATTTTTATTTGGTAGTTTTTTTAAAGTGAATCCATTTTGATTCATGAAATGCATATATTACTGAAAACTATATATCATGCAAAATGATTGCTCTTTGTTTTTGTAGATATCAAATGACATATGCACGAAGAGGATCCTCGATACAATTTGCAACTGTTAAGGTAAGAAACATGACACTTGTTGTTTGAGTAATCAGTTATATCCTCTTGTTCTTCTTGTTAAGGAAAATAATATTTATGTCATAACATAAGAAGGATGAAACTTGTGAATCTGTGACTTTAATCATGATAACGACTACTCGACTTGGTACAAAAATTTGATGATATATCCGTCAATAGATAGCTGACCATTTTCAAGAAACAAAAAGCTATTGAAATTTGTTGGAACAAAACAAATTAATATTATGACAAATGAGTAACACATTTATGGAATGACTTGTGTTTTGTAGGGTGCGGGTCATGCACTGGCAATGTACAAGCCTGAAGAAGCTTTGGCATTGATGGATCGGTGGCTTGCTTCTCATGCTTATTTAAGCTTTTCGTCTTAATCATCGATTGTTTTGTCCATCGTGTTTTGCATATGCCATTATTGCTATTAAACTCCTATTCACTAATGTCACACCCCGCTAAAGCGGAAACACGAGATATGACAGCTCACGGTTTCATTGCACAAGTAATAGATAACACCATAATTAAAATATATAAATTACAAGTTCAAGATTTTCAGAATCATAATAAACTGCTCTCATAAGGAGTCAGTGATGTACAAAATGCAAACACAATCTAGTTCGAAAGGTTGAAATGTTGATGTCGTTGCACACACATGCTCAAAACGTCACTTACTTATTTCCTGAAAAGCATGAAAAGAAAAAAAAGGTCAACTACAAAGAGTTGGTGAGTTCACATGTTTTATATGCACAAAAACTTTTCAATGCAGAAAAATCTCATTCTTGCAAACTTATTTATAACACTTGCACATGGTTAAATGAAAATTTTGATATGATGTTTAACTCGAGCCGCTACAGATCCTTTTCCGACAACAATTAGTCCCAAAAACATTTGTACGAACTACCATGAAATGGCCCGCGCGCCAACTTAGGTACCACGGTTCGTCTACAGAACTACCTCAGCAGTGGTGTTTAACCCACATGTTTAGAACTAAATGGGTAGGACTACCTCAGCGGTGCCGCATTCGCACATGCGTAGCCTACAATAATAATAAATAGCAGAGTGCACCCGTTTTTGGGTGGTAATGTCAACCAAATAGCGCTATCCACAATACTATCAGCCCAACACAATTCCGAGTCAACACAGTTGGGGACGATAAATAAAATCACTCAAGTACATCAATTTAGCATTTAGACTATTGTGCATTAATAATCAAATATCATGATTATAACAATTTAAATTTAAACAATTCAGTTTGCAATTTATTCATGCTTTTCCCCCAAATATTCAATAAATAATAACGCGATAAAAACGGGGCCGTGATTACTCACCGAATTACTTAACGTGAAACTTGATGACTTTGGCGGTGAGAAGCTCTAAGATCCCGGTCTCTCCTCTCCTACGATGTCCAAAGTCTAAAATTAGACCAGCTATCTAATTTCGGTATAGATAAAGTATTTATTTTTATGTAATGTCCATTAATTTGTCCATTTTTAATGTAAATTAAACTTGAAATCCTTTTCACATAAAATCATAAATTGGGCAGAACTCTTTTTGAGTCCCAATTTTTATATCATCTATACTATCTTATAAAGCAAATTTAAAAAAGTGTTAAAAGTATTAAAATTCTAAATGACAAAGATACCCTTTATATCATTTTTTTCACTTTTTCACCCCCTCCTCTCCTCACATACACTCACCCTCTCACAACCAATTTTTTAAAATTATAATTTTAAATTTACACTTTATACCCCTATAATTAGTTAATTAATTTACTTTACGTCATCTACTTTTAAATGTTTCATTTTAAACCTTTATCAAATTAATATACATAATCGTATATCAATTAAAACATGTTTAAAAAATACATTTTTATTTTAACAAGTTACACCATTATAATCGTCTCGTTAATACCTTCGAAATGAGTCTAATATTGAATAGTTTTTGACTTAATTAGATTATTATATATTATATATACTGTGGAAAAATATTTTTAATATTTACGATTTATACTTTTATAGTTATTTATATATATATATATATATATATATATATATACTATATATTTTGGGGTTAGGCTGTCCAAATTGCACTGTATAATATATTCTGAATTAATATGTTTTTGGGTTTTTTTTGTAATATATACATACATGTATTAATTAAACCTTAATATGAGTTTCTGGATAAGAAAGAGGGTAAGCAGTTGAAATTTCATTCTAAAACCCATCTTTTTTTGTCTTTTCATGGCTTATGATATATCAAATTTGTAGTTTTCTTTATTGGTTTTGAGTGTTATCTTAAAACTCAAGTTTCTTGGTTTTTTGCTCTTGGTGTAAATCGAACACATTTGTGCAGTCGTTTAAATATGTTGGATTTTAAATATATTGGATTTTAAACAAATACATAAACATTTTTTCTGAGAATCATGCTAATGTGGAATTTATTGTAACTTTACAAAAAGATCATAAAAGAGCATTGGAAAGAGTTGAGAATGATTCCGAGTATCAAATAAATAAACTTGAAAAATCTTTGGATAACGTAAGAAAAGATTTTGATAATGAATTGAAAATATGGACTAAAGCTAATAAAGATCTRTTTAACAAACTTCAAAAAGTCCAGAGTGAATCAAGAACTGAGGGAAATTCTCCAGGTAGTAAAYATACTGAGACAAATGACTTAATTGATAAACTTCGTAAGACTGAAAGTGATCTCATTGAGTTAAGAAAGTTATTGGACTCAGAAAAAGAAAAAGTTTTAGAAGTGGAAAAGGATTTGAATGCTGAAAGGAAAGGTTTGGAGAAAGAGAAGAAAAAGATAATAGAAATTGAGAAAAGATTTTGTTCTGAACGAATATCTTATGAAAATAAGATAAATTCTCTTGAGCTGAATGCTAAATTTCTTTTGAATCAAATTTTAGATTTTGAACAAATTATCATCTTGGAACGAGCCAAGGTTGATAAAGAAAAGAAAGAGACTGACCAAAAACAGAAAGCTCTAGATGAAGAGAAAAGATTGTTTGTTCTTGAAAAGAGAAATACTGTCAAGCAACATGCTGCAATTACCAAAGAGCTTACTGAGAAAAAGAAATGGCTTGACATTGCTTCTGAGAATGATAAGGGAAGTTCAGATGAAGAAAGAAAGAAGTCTGAGAGAGAAAGAAAAGTGTTTGAAAAATTGAAGAAAGAATTAGAAGGTAAGTTTTTGGATACTTCAAAGAAGTTGTCTGATCTAGAGACAGATCTGGTGACTGAATTGAACATGAGAACTAAACTTAAAAAGAAGTATGATTTAGTTGCTGATGAGAGAGATCAGTTACTTAAGAAAGTATCAGACTTTTCAAGAGCTGAAAGCTTAACTATTTCTCAATCTCAGTGTAAAACTTGCTTTTATAACTGTTCCAGTGTTAAATCCAACAGTTATTCAAGCAGTCCTAAATCAACTGTTTCTAAGAACAAGTCTCATTCTTCAAATTAGTTTTATCAAGGGTATGTCATTGAATCACCCAATTATTCTTCTAAGGTCAAAAGCATTTGGGTCAGTAAATCTGAATTTGTTATATCTCGTACTCCTGTTGTTACTAATCATCTTCCTTGTTTTGTAAGATCTACTATTGATTTGATTCATATTAGCAAGAGAAGAATCATGTGCTCCACATACAAATCAACAGATTTTGTAAACAAGAAGACATCCAACAGATGGAGTACAGACAATAGATATCAGAAGGTTTGTAAAGGTAAGAACATGTATGATTATAATAACTGGTATGGATCATATTATGTATATAATCATCCTATTAATAGTGCTAAAAAGAAAACATCTACTAGAATTAAATGGTTTGGAAGTTACAACATACCCCAGCCCGATACTAACAAAATAGGACTCAAATTCATTTGGGTACCAAAATCTATTTGATTTGATTTTGYASGTGTGTCAATTTTGTGCTGATCAAAATATCATATCAGTGATACACTAATGCAGGGAGAGCTGTAATATATTCCAAACAAGGCTTCTGAACAATTCATTTTAGGACCCGTGCTTTACCGAGAGTGTTTTCTAAACATACAGTTTAGGACCCGGGCTTAAAATATTTTTTAATTTTTTTAATTTTTTTAATTTTTTTAATTTTTTTAATTTTTTGAGCTTAACTGAAACATTACTATAATCTACTTTCTATGGGAGTCTCTAGAAATTCAATAAATGTTTTCAGGAAGTTATTTTTTTTAAAACGAGTACATTCTCTGAACAGATATTTCCTGAGATTTTTACTTGCATAATTTCTTGTCGTACATAACTCCAATACCTGTTTCAGCTATTCTTCAAACCGTTATTATCACGTCTCTTATATATAAATCATTTTCGGTGATAATACACTCGTTTGTATTCAAATGTTGATTTTCTGATATTTTTTTCTTTGATTGATATACATTTTTTTAAAATCAGAATCTGTAAACTCGTTCTTACAGATCTTCATTCATTTCTCTCGCATATCGAATAATTTGATTGTTGTCGCATCACTCCTTTGTTTGATTGTGCTTCAAAGCCACATCTTGATCAATTTTTATATGATCATTGTGCTTTATTTGCAATAACTTTTTGATCAATCATTGTGATCAACTGAGCATACTGTAAATTTAGGAGGGACTGAGTGCTTAACAGAAATACCTCTATGGAATGTCAGAACCGACAAACCTACCTAAGAGGACAACCATATCTGAGTGAGTTTTATATACAAAAGGATTTGTGTGTTGAGACTAAAATGAAAATGAGAGGGGTAGTTGTGGTGAGCTAAAARAATTGACGAGAGTTGTGTYAGGATTAAAAGAATACGAGAATCMTGTTCCAAACTTCTAAAATCCGGGCATACYACACAATCTATTAGTTCTCAATTCTTTCGAGACTAATATTRAAAAAGGCAAAGCCCAGRCCAATTCTTGTCACAACCCCACCAGCTACTGTGATAACCGGATCCTGGTTATCACCTAAGGTAATTAATATGCGATTATTTGATTAAATGATTATGTGATAGCATGATAAATTGTTATGTTTGATCATGCTGGTATGTGAAAGTGTGCATAATTTAGATGCATAAAAGAGATTATGTGCATATATGTTATATGCATGCATGTAGGTGCATATGTGCATGAGAAAATATATATATATGAATGGTAGTGTGAATGCATGCATAAGAGAAGGTTGTGTTAACCGCCTTTCCTGATTTGGAAAGAATAAAAGGAGGGCTTAGCCTCCATATTTCTTCTTCTTGCCTTTTAAAAAAAAAGTTGTGCGATTTAAAGAGGAGAGGTTGACCGGATTATTCTTGGCTGGAGATTCAAATTGATTTCAAGT